TTCAGTAAAATTGATTATTCAAAACCAATAGTTAATGAATATGTAGTTAAAGGATGTAAAGAGCCAACTAATGAAGAACCAAACCCACAAGTGTATTTCATGACAGTTTATGCTAAAAACGTTGTTTTAGCAGAAAAGGCATTTAGAGATCATTTAAATCAACAATGTAAAATTAAATCTTCTAAGGCTGTTAAAATAAGTTGTGAGGAAGTTGAACAAGAAAGTGATTTTGTTGTTAAAAATTATGGAATAGATTTTGTTTATCAAACACCAACTGGGAAACATAACGCTCATAAAGAAATTAGAGCAATTAACAAATGTTGTGCTATCACCACTCTTTACCAAGAGTTTGGATCAAGACATGGAATTGATTCAAGTAAATTCTTTATCCGTGAAGTTTATGTAATTGATGATATCTCTAAGTTAACAAGACAAAAGGCAATCACCTATTCTACTGAAAATTTAAAGTTTCCTTTGTTTACTAAAAATTCTAACACTGATAAAGAATTTGTTCCAGTTGGTACAAAAATTTTCGAATAAAAATTAAAATTTATCAAAATTTAAAAATTTTCTTAAAACATTAGGAACTGTAATTGTTCCATCATCATTTTGATAATTTTCTACAATACAACATAAACTTCTTTGTACTGCACAAAGTGTAGCATTAAGCATGTGTACAAAGACTGGTCTTTCAGTTTTATTTTTTACATTTCCATAATAAACTGACATACTCCTTGATTGATAATCTGTACAATTGGATGCACTAACTAACTCTCTGTATTTTTGAGATTCAGGAAACCATGCCTCAATGTCATATTTAAGACTTGCTGAATCATTCATTTCACCTGATGCAATACAAACTATGCGGTATGGAATATCTAATGACGCTAAAAACTCTTCTGCTGTTTTTATCATTTTCTCAAGATACTCATCCGACTCATCTGGATTACAAATCACAAATTGTTCTATTTTTTCAAATTGATGTACTCTAAATAAACCAGCATTATCTTTACCATATGCACCTGCTTCTTTTCTAAAACAAAGTGACTCACCTGCGTAACATTTAGGTAACTCAGTTGGTTGCATATGTTGATTCATATGAAGTGCTGATAGCGGTTGTTCTGATGTTGCTATTAAATAATACCCACCATCAACCTTATAAAGTTGATCATCAAAATCACTCAATTGAGCTGTGTTTTTCATCACCTCTCTTTTCATCATTACAGGTGTTTGTATGTGAATGTATCCTCTCTCACTTAAAAATGTTAATGCGTATGTCTTTAAAGCTAGTGCCAGTTGAGCCATTTTTCCTTGTAAAAAGTAACCTCTATGACCTAGCACTAATGAACCTGCTACTGCATTAGTATACTGTTCCATTAGTTTTACAAAACTATGTTTCTTAACTACACAACCTTCTTTTTTAAATGTTTTAACAGTTAAATTACCATCCTCTGTCTTACAAACTGGTACTTTATCACTAAGTACATTTCCTATGCTTACTAATAAAATATTTATCTCACTCTCAAGTTCTTTCAACTCTTTCTCTAATTCACCTTTATCCTTTTTAAGATCAACTTTTTCAAGTTGACTAATAATCTCTTTAGCATCAACTTTCCCCTTGTTAGATTTAATTGCCTGATTAATTTCTTTCTGATTCTTGTTGATTTCTCTGTTAAATTGTTCAATTTTAAATTTGAGTTTAATTCTTTTTTGATCCATTAAATACAATTTATCAACTATTGAATCATCTTTAAATCTGTCTCTTTCACTCTTTTTAACTAATTTTCTTGTCTTCTCATCTCTTAATAATCTAATATCAATCATTTATA